CCAGAAGAAGAAAACAGGAAACAACCTAGGAACCTGCTACAGAGGGCATCTGAAAGCCTCTGCCCTGCAGACTATCAAATCAGATGCTGAGCCTGATGGCCAACTGGCGGGCAGAGTGAATGGAATTTTATGTAAGAAGTGGGAAATAGCAAAAACTGGAGAGGACAGGAACTCCACAAGGAGAGCAACAGAACAAGAAAATTTACCAGATTTCTTAATTCTACCTGTGGCCAGGGGCCCCTTCCCCGTGGCCTTGGCTTTCAGCTCCTTGAGTTTCTTCTGCTCCTCTTTCTGTTTCTGCTTTAAAGCCTTGTCCTCCTCATCCATCTCCTTGGCCTGCTTCTTGGGCTGTTTCAGGGGCTTCTTTTTGCCACCTTTGCGGCCAGACATGGCGCCAACAGCCCCTTCACCAGTCCCCGATCTCAAGCCCTTGTTATAATTTTTTAAGATTATGAAATTATCAAAACACACATGAATCAAGTTTTAATACACTGTCTGGGTGAATACGGCTGTCCATTGTACCATTGATTTTTTGGGGTTCTCAGGAATGGTTTGACAGTGTAAGGACTCTGTAACATTAACATTGAATAAAAAGTAAACCTAAAAGAAAATAGTGTAAAAGTACATAGTATGTACTGCTCACCAAAGAAAACGTATACTCCTCCATGGCTAGTAGGAGTACAAGCTTGTATAAACACTTTGGAAATCAATTTGGCAGTTTCTCAGAAAACTGGGAATAGATCTACCTTGAAGCCCAGCTATACTACTCCTGGGGATATACCCAAAAGACCGCCACAATACCACAAGGACACTTGCTCAACTATATTCATAGCAGCTTTATTTATAATAGCCAGGAAGTGGAAACAACCTAGATGTCCCTCAACCTAAGAATAGATAAAGAAAATGTGGTACATTTACACAATGGAGTATTACTCAGCCATTTAAAACAAAGACATCATGCAATTTGCAGGCAAATGGATGAAATTAGAAAAATCATCCTGAGTGAGGTATCCCAGACCCAGAAAGATAAACATGGTATTTACTCACTTATAAGTGGATATTAGCCAAAAAGTACAGAATAACCAATCTACAGACCCAAAGAAGCTAAGAAACAAGGAGGACCCAAGCAGGGGGTGGCACTTGTCTTTCACTAAGAAGAGAAAATAAAATAGATATCTGGACTAAGGGAGGGGAAGGATGGGAACAGGAAAAATGAGGTGGGTGGAGGACAGAAGGAGAGAGTACTGGAAAGGACAACTGATGGTGGGGGGAGGGGGAGATCTCTGGCATGAACTAAAAACCTAGGACAATAGAAGCTCCCAGGAAACTATAAGGGCAACACCAGCTAAGACTCCTAGTAGTGAGCTGTATAACCTGAACCATCCAATTCTGTAACCAAGCAAAACTCCCAATGGATGGATTGAGACACTGACCCAGCCATAAAACCTTAGACCCACAATTTGTCCTGCTTACAAGATGTGCAGGGATAAAAGATGGAGCAGAATGACTGGCCCAGCTTAAGACCCATGCCATGAGACACACTATTAATGATATTGTGCTATACTTGTAGACAGAAGCCTAGCCTAACTGTCATCACAAAGGCTTCACCCAGCAATGGATGGAAACAGATACAGAGACTCACAGCCAAACATTAGGAAGAGCTTAGGAACTCCTATGGAAGAGTGGAGGAAGGACTGAAGAAGCCAGTGGGGTCAAGAACACCACAAGAAAACCTACAGAATCAACAAATCTAGGCCCATCGTGGGTCACACAGACTGAGCCACCAACTAGCATATATGGGACCGACCTGCTCTCTGCACATATATTACAGTTGTGCAGCTAGGTCTTCAGGTGGGACTCCTAAAGCAAAAGCAGAGGCTGTCTCCGACTACATTGCCTGCCTTTGGATCCCTTTCCCCTAACTGGACTTCCTAGTCTAACCTCAACAGAAGATGTGCCTAGTCTTACTGCAACTTGATGTGCCAAGGCTGGTTGATATCCATGGAGGCCTCCCCTTTTCTGAGGAAAAATGGAGGAGGGGTAGATGGAGCGGGCAAGGGAGGTGAGAGGGAGGGACTAGAATGAGAGAAGGAAGGGAAAACGGTGATCCAGATGTAAAGTAAATAAATAACTTAATTAATAAAAAAGAAAATGCATAAATGCCTACTAACCACAAGCAATAGCCTTTGCCTTTACTAAAGAAAGACTACAGTGAAAAGCTGACACACCCGGTAGGAAGGCCATCACTTACAACAACAGCAACAAAAGCTGTCCTGTTTAAACTCACTTCTTTAGTCTGGGAAACCTATCTTATAATCGTCCCCATATCAAACATAAAATACTTTAAAAACCAGTCATAACTCAAATTCTGAACATCACATAAAGCACTAACAAAAAAATGGATGATAGCATTTAATTAACTCACTGCTAGTTAAACATTTCACATACATTTTTTTCTGCTTGGAAAGAATATTATGAATACCACACTTGGGTCAACAAGACAGCTCAGCAGGTAAAGGCATATGTACAAGCCTGATGACCCGAGTTCAACCTCCGGAACCCACAAAAAGGTAGAGAACCAACTCCACAATGTTGTCCTCCTCTGAATGATGTACATGATACATCATTCAAACTCACACACAAACAAATTTTACCTTGAGATTAAACAATGTTTACCTGTCTGAAGGCATGTCACTGGCAATCTGGTGCTTCACTCCTGAACCATTTTTAATAGAATCCTGTCTTGTGAGCCCATGAGATCGACCTTTCTCCACTGCAGGTACAGATAAGTCACCTGGGGGTCCTTGAAACTGGGTCTGTTCATGTAGTTTTGCTTTTTTCTCCTGAGGTGCCTCCTCATTTCGAAGCCCTTGAAGAACCTTTTGATCAGGTTGCTGCGGTGTATTGGACCCACTATTATAAAACCATGCTCCTGATTTAGTGAGGATTTCTTGTTGTTTTCGGCACAAATTACACACCCACATAACCTGCACATAATAACACAGAAAAAATAAATTAGTCTCCCTCAAAAATAAGGAGAGAAAATTCAAGCCAACAAAAGACAGTTGTACTTCTTAAGTTAAAATAAAGTCTAATTGCTACTATAAATTAAATAATTTATTCTCTTTTAACTTTTTAAGGATGATTATAGTGAAAATACAGTGACAGAAAAATCATATCAAAATTCGAATTGTTTGTTTGTATTTATAATTATTTTTATTTAGTTAGAAGTATGACATGCTAAATAAGAAAATGAATTTTGAAGTTAATCAATTTTAAATAGTATAATAAAACAGAACAGTAAAACCTTCAGCTAGGTGCAGACCCTTCATATCTACAGAACTCAGTTTCTATAACACAGGTTAGATATAAACAATACTTATTTTCTTGTGTTGTTTTTAAAAACATAAATAATTCTTAAAGTACCTGTTACAAAGTACATTTCCAGTAATTAACTGTTAATATTAGGGTAAAATACTCTACCACAAACTATCCTTCTTTATATATAACTATATCATTTTTAAAGAGTTTTATTTCTTTTAAGTAGCTACTAATGACTAAAACAAACCTAAGAACACTACTAATTTCAATAAAACCTATTAATCGATCATAATTTGTTATATTTGATTTTTTTACCTTCACATCTATATTTTTGTGCTATTCACAATAGATAACCTAGACTTTCATCAAGAGATGAATAGATAAAAAAAGATGTAGTAAATGTACCCAACTGGATTTTATTCACCAATAAAGGATACAAAAAAACAAATGTAGCAAGAGATCTCTACGCTGTGAAACAGCCAGATGCAGAAAGAAAAATACCACAGCATTCTCTCATATGCTGACACTAGATTTAGAGATAGAGAGAAGGGAGAAACAGATGCTAATCCAGTGGAGAGGCATGAGAGGGGGCAGGAGGGAAGAAAGGGAAAAGTGAGAATATGGATGACAGACAGACAGATATAGATGGTAGATTGATAAACAGAAGATAGAGACAGAACAGAAGATACATATAAACAGATAGACAGATATGGATAATAGACAGATAGATATACGGATAGATATAAATGGACAACCAACGGACCAACAGATAGACAGGCAGGCAAGGTACAATTGTGGTAGGGGAGCTATAGGAAACAGAGAGTAAAAAGAGACAGTGGAGGAAAGTGAATATAGCCGAAGTACCTGATACAACAAATGTGAATAAACAAAAAATATTCCCACAAAAATACAAGATATATTTGATTTTTATTATGAAAAAAAAATCCCAACAACTTTTAAATCACACTTCAGTAATATTATCTATATTCAAATTGTTCCCAAATAGAATTTGAAATTTTTTCTTATAAACTTGAATTTCATACCCGTTGGATAGCAATGTCCCTTGTTTCCTTCTTTCCAACCATAATGATACCCATCCAATGCCTGATTGGTAATTGAAATTTTATTTTCAAATTTCAATAAGGAAATTAATGCTATGTAACCAGAAAATCCTTCTCCTCCACCACAAAAATATTTTGATTGATTAAAAAATCTATAAATAATTAATGATACTTGTTCATGAAATGCAAAGCATATTACATTTCAAATGAGTGCTGACTATATGCTTACACTGACTCCCATACAGACTCCATGTTTCTAGACATTTTTTTTCACATTTAAATGACTTACAAAAAAAATAATTATAGTAAAAGAAAGCCTTCTCTACTTAGTAATTAACAATAAAGCAGAAATGAGCTCGTAAGACAGATAATTATCCATCACTGTACCCAAGCTGGTATTTTTACTGAAATAAAAATGTTTTGTATCATTTACGGTTGGCTTAATGTCCCATTAAACCAGTTCATATTATTCAGATAGTTTGCATCACACAGCATTGTAATTGTTCATCAGGATTATGATTTTAGTTCTTTCCTTACATGGAAATGCATTCTTTTATTCACTACTGAATTTACTATCATTTTTGGAAACAAAGACACTATCATCTACTAGCATAAGGAGACCATGTAAGTCACAGACTACTAAAATCTAAACGCCTGCAAGCCTGAAGTCACTTAAAGCAATCCTGAAAGAAACATAAGGTATTTGATATTATAAACCAGTATTTATGTTTCACCAATTCCCAAATAAGTTACTCATCAATAATGCCAATATGTATGCCAATTTTATTTTGTAAATAAGTATTTTTTAACAAAAACACTGTGATTCTGCTAAATTTCTATAAACAAACTCCACAGTTCAAATTTCATTTTCTATGATTGATGTGAATAGACAATAAACATAAATATATCCAAATGCACCAATCAATTTTAAAAGTCAAATGATAACCAAGATATGACCACTTTTGGTGTAAACTGTGACAAATGAAGATAGTTGCAGACATCTTTTAAGCAGGAAGTTCTTCAAAAATAAATAAAAACCTGTTGCTGGGAAGCAAACCAACGCACTTGATAGTTGCACCTTTAGGTCTTTCACTGACCTAAATCCTCAACCCCAACAAATAAAATCTGCATATCACATTTCTGTCTTAAACAAATTACTATTTCTATTACAATGATAATCTGTAAAAGGACTCTAAAATTAAACTATAATAGAATAAGTCACATCCAAGGCATTAAAGAATAAAATCTTTTTCTTGATAATTAACAATGAAATAAATGAATATGCAAGGAAATTATCTAACCACTGTTATCTACCTATATTAACCTCTGCAAAAAAGATCTAGAACTAATATATATTCAAGATGGTCTCTTGAAAGAACCACAGCCAAAGAATCACAGTTCAGTTTAATGGAAAAAGACAGAAAGTATCCTTAATATAAAACACTCCAAAAGCAACTTATCTGAAAAAGTAACCTGAAGCTGAGGGGTGCTACATCCCTATAATCTCAGCACTTAGAAGATGAAAGATAGAGAATCAGAAAGTCAAGGCCTACGTATCAAGTTTGAGTTCAACCTGAACTGCATGAGACCCTTCTCAAGAAACATCTTTTAAAGAAGAAGGTGTTGGCATTGGAAAAAAGAAAGAGAGCAAAGGAGAGACTGAGTGAAAGTAAGAGGAGCCAATTGGGAAGGAAGTAAGGAGATGGTGTGGGAGTCAGGGAAGGGTAGAAAAGGGTAGTTAGATGAAGAGTGTCAGTAAAAGATACTGTATACAAATCTATAACTGTCAGAAAGAAAGAAAGAAAGAAAGAAAGAAAGAAAGAAAGAAAGAAAGAAGGAAGGAAGGAAGGAAGGAAGGAAGGAAGATGTAGTGACACAAATTCATATTCCCCTTTAAAACGGTAAACTTTATAAAATTAAGTTATTAAATATAAATTAAAATATTTCAGAGAATAAAAGTCATAAAACACAAGGAATTTAGGACATAATGACAGTCTAACCTATGTTAATTTCACTGGCTTTAAATTTACCAAATTTACATTGTTTTAAGTTAGCTCATTTATCAGCCACTTCAGTGCAGTCATGAAATTAAGCAAATTAGCTGTAAAGCCCATAGCATTATTAGGTCTTTTAAGGAACAAAGTGTGAACAGCCAGAAGCTAACACCAAAACTAACTTACTATGTACTCTGAAAGTGCTGCTATGATTAGCACTCTTAAAATAGGGGGGGGGGGAGACCTAAAGATCAAGGAACTCAAATGAGGAGGAAGAGGAGGAAAAGAAGGAGGGGTTGGAGGAGGAGTTGTAGTATGGGAACATAATGAAAACTTAAAGGAAAGTTAGCTGATCACCACACCAGTGTGGACATCACACAGAATAACTACTACTATATTGAGCTCAAATATTTTTTTTAATTCATCATTTTACTTGATAGCATGGTCTCAATGAATCTCCAACCCTTTAAAAGCATGTGTTTTAATAAAAAATAGAACTAGAGCAATTTTTAACTAGGGTATTAAGCAGTTTCAGTACCATTCAGCAAGTCATAACTACCAAGTCCACATTCCATGAAGTAATGTGGGTTAGCTTGAAATCACAGGCATATTTAGACTACAGAAACTAGAAAACATTACAAATAGTTTTTTTTTCTAAAACTCAGATATCAGCACATTTACTCCACTAAAGTAATGACACTATATTCAGTATTTATAGACAAACTTGAAGGAAGCTGTAATTGACCATAACAATTAATTCAGAGCATAAAATTCCAATTTATATACAGATGGGAAAATAACTACTGAAACTAACTTGTTATTTTTATGAATTCAGACAATACTGACTACATGACTAGTGTATGCCAGGCACTATGCAAGGAGCTGGCGAATAAAATCAAGAGGTATAAATTTTGTTGTGAATTTTAAAGAACAGGGAGAGAGAAAAATCAGCAAGAAACTATAAATATTGCTTGTGTTACAGTTGCAAGTGCTATGACAGGAATACATTCACATCACGGGTCCTTTGGTGCTTTCTTCTCTGCCTAACACTGTATCACAGGAAAATGAGGATGGAAGGGACATCACCAAGAGACGTAGAATCCAGAGAGGCACAACCACAGCATTACCCATGGCCAGGTACCTTTGTCTCACAATAGGCAGCCTTTATAGGTAAATGGATAACAATCTACAAGTGGCCCCTCAATATTGATAGGGTAGATTTTCACACATCCTCAAGTATCAAGGCTTTCAGTGACATATATCCTTAAGGATGAAGGCTTTCAAGCAGGTCACTATAATCCTTTTAAGAGGCTGCTGAGATACAGAACAAAAATCAGAAATATGCTTTATCTGATATCCCTGGGTTAAACAGCAAGACTATGCATGTTCCCTCTAAACATTGCCATGCCATTTCTGGTTACAGCCACATATATAGGCTAAAGCAGGCTAATGTCTAGGAGATTGTAAAATCAGAAGGTTTAAACTTGGGCCTTTCTAAGGCTGAGTCATTACATTCTTCCCTGTTGACTACTGTTGTGCTTTGAAAAAAAAAAAAACTCACCAAAATATACCTTGTTTCTCTGTTGTTTATCTGATTTTCTTTAGTACATG